ATAATACTCCAGGACTTTAAAATTTCATGTTTTTTTACCAAAAGTATATGCTATTTTTTTCATTCTGAAAGTTTCTTTCTCCAGTTTTAGAGGTAAAAGCTTCTTTAAAATGGTAGTGAATTAAAAGTTGTGAAAATTTAACTATTTGTAGCCTTAAGGATCAAAAAAATGAAAAAAAAAAAGCACTCTATTTCTAATTTTCCATATTTAAACTGAAGGAAGATTGTTGTTAAAAAAAAAGAACAAACTAGGAAGCAAAATAAATCTCATTAGGTTTTAGGATCTGATTCAATATATTTTGCACTCTTTGAGACTGTGAAACTGAAACTCTTTCCTGTTTACCTGTGGGCTCATGGTGATAAGCCTGACAGTTGGTTCAATTTTCTATGTGGAAGTGAGAGGTTTCAATGCAAGAATAACTTGAGTCTCTGTCCTGCAAAAATGCTTAATATAAAACGTCCTGATGTTTCTGCATATGAAGCTATATCATAAATAGCTGTAGCTTGAGGAATCATCTCAATGTTTTGGCTCCTGTTCCAAAAAAGCAACTAAGCACCTGCTTAAACCAAGGATCTTGAGTATCCTCGTTATTTTGTGGTAAACTGTGAAAGGATGAAGTTCAAGTGTGGACCACTCTCATCAGTGTCTCGCAGACCCAGAGCTAAGTGAGACATCCCTGTCACTGTCTCAGAAAACCCAAACACAAGGTCTCTCACAGGCTCAAAAGCCCTGGTACCACCTTGGGTTCAGTGTGGCAGTGCCCACTCCCAAAGGACAGACTGTGCTCCTGCCTGTGCTCTGGTAGGGAACTGGATTTTAATAGCTTTCAGGTGAACGGTTTTATATAATGATCAGCCTCATAAGTGCCTTTTAGTTGAACAGGTACATTCATGCAAGAGAAACAGATTTTTAGGCACAGAAGGGGTTTTATGCACAGAAAACCTAACTCCTGATGCTCCAGGACTCCTGACTTTCACCTAGACACCCCCGTCTATAAAAGTATCATATCCCATATGTAATCAAATACCTGTCCAGATTGCAATAGATACCCCTCTTTTAAATAGTCTGTTGTTTTGGTTTTTTTTTTTACCTTGCTCTGTTGGGCACCACAACTCTGAAATCATGTTGACAATACTGGTCTAAGACTCTTCTATAAATGAGAGCTCAAGCCGTTACCCAGTCATTTCTACACTTCATTGCATAAGCGTCACTCAGCAGTAAAATGTACTTGGTCACAGTTATGCAGAAGACACTGCAATTTTTTCTCTTCCATGGCCACCTGCATATTCTTAGTGTGAAACAGAAATCATGTGTATGGCATGGCATTAGACGGATTTTTTTTTTTACTGTACTTGAAAAAGCGAAGACTTAGAAGCAAGGGAGGAGCTAATCATTGCAAAATACACAGTCATTTCCTGAGCCCTCTGGTTGGATGAGTACAAACTTTCAACTATTTCTAATTCTTCTCTGTCATTTAAGAGGCTTTCAAGGTGCACTGTACATCCCAGACCAGGTAAGGAGTACAGCTTTCCACTTCTTCACTGTTTATTCAAGATTGTTTTTCAGCAGAGTCAGATTCAGTCAGGACTGATTTTTTCCTTCCTCCTATTATTTACATCTGAAGGGAGAACAAAGTTCATTGCAACCCAAGAAATACATATGTGTCTTTGTACGAGATGACTGTGAGCTGTAGGAATAAAGGAAGAACTGTTTGGCTTAATAATAGAGCAGGCAATTAGGAAATGATGTTGCACATATTTAGAAGTCAGAATTATTACAGCAAATACTGCAGTATAAGAGAAAGAAAACTCTTACCAACAGTTTTAAGGAGTTCATTGTGCACAAACCACTATCAAAATAAAGCGGTTTAAGTACACAATTAGCTTTAGTGAGGGGGTACTAAAAATCATACTGTGTCTTCAACAGTGTTTTTTAAAGGAGGAAGAATGAGCTTTTATGTATGGAGGGAGGAAAAAAGTTAGAAAAAAAAAAACCAGATAATTTAGGACCAGTTTTATTCATAAATCTGAACCTGATATCTATCTTTAGCTATTGTAGGGTCATGTACATGTACTCATCCTGAGACTGTTCCTGAGGTTTGCAGTAACCAAATATACACTCAGAAGTGACTGTGGAACCATATCATAAAGCGATATAATTTCACTGGGTCTTTGGACGCATAACAACTGAATTCAGACAGACAGGCACCAGAAGGAAGTCTCGTAACAGTGCACTCTTGCATACTGCATTTGTTGTCTCTTAATAGATAGGGAATGAGACCATTTGTGTGAAGTTTTGTTTTCTAATAGATGAGAAACAAGCATAAAATATCCATCTGTGGGGCCGTTACTGTAATAATGTTTTGTCAGCAGGTCACCATACAGAGACTGAAATTATACATGCTGTGCTGATCCATGGTTGAAGTCATACCGTGGATACTCAAATCTTTGGCATTTTTGGTTTTTTTAAGTCTTTGCTTATAATCAGTTTTAGTGGGTCCTTGAATGTTTGGTATAAACACTTTCTGGATTTTATACATAGTGGTTGGGAGAATCTAGTTAGGATTTTTTAAAGCATTTGTTTGATTCAGACACATAATTTTCATCCGCGTTTCCATTCATTCCTAAATCACTTCCACTGTACTTGTGAGATTGCTGGTAGCACTTGGACCTCTCCAATGAATTTCACCCTTAACAGACTCAGTGAGCCACTGGAAGTTTTGTTACTGCTTTTACAGGTGGGGAACTCAGATGAATCCCAGTTGACACCATATTTGTGCCCTGGTATTCACAGCTCTCTAGTGCAGGCAATCTGATCAAGAAACCCGGGTCTTCCCTTGCAAACGGCTGTATTTCAGTTCAGACACAACTAGAGAGCATGTCACTGTTCTGCTAGGGAAGAGACTACGATATGGATAGAAGCGTTTGCATCAGCCTTTGTCGTCTCAGTTTGAACACTGATGCTAAGCAATTAGCTGTTCCTTTCGGGTATTTATGGCCTTAGCTGCTAAAGATTTGCAGCCTATGTTGTACCTTGCTAGAGTAAAGCTGGCTGAGGTGTGCCTACCCATCTTGCAGTCACATTTCCGAATTACTGCATAGGCACGGCTCAACAGCTTTGTGTGGGAAGAGAAAACTGAACCCAGGCATCCCCTGTCACGAAACAGCAGCTTACCCACTGCTTCTGCCTTCAGTTTTTAGCATTCCTTCAGGTACACTTATTGAAAATGTGTATTCACCTACTGTCTTTTAGTGTGGGTTTGTGTTAAACTCAGATGCATCTATGTGGATAAATTTGCTCTCACTGATGGCTGTAAGCAGAGAAAAGGCCAACTTATGTGATTTAAAATGTTTGCTCTCAGTGCTCTCTTTCAGCATCAGTATCTTTGATGTGGGAAGAGAGTGCGCTCCTCATGTCTCTGTCAGAGGGAGGCATATGTTATGTGTACGAGTTATGTGTAACAGAGTTGAAAATAAACAAATACTAGAAAGGTCATTCCTTGTATGGCAAGTTTGGTCTCCCACAGTAACCGCTGTATTCTGGTCAAGTGGCTAGAGGGGAGAAACCCCAATGGCACAACCAGCCTCAAGAACTTATCTTGTGGTAGCCTCCTCTGTCCTACTCAAAAATAAAGACACATCAAGACTATGTCCCAGTGCATTTAAAAGATGTACTGATGTTTTGCACATGCACTGCTGCCTAATAAAATTACTTCATATTGACACAGTTTCCAGAAAAATAAGAATTTCGAAGCAGAAGTTTAGGGGCTTCACTGCTGAAAACTAATGTTTACAAAGACTTCAGATGTACAGAAGGATGGTTTTCTTATCAGGCATATTTATTGACACCGTTTTCATGTTCCTCGTAGTGTGCAAAAGGAGCTTGAAAATGTTGCTTTCCTCTGAAAAATGACTTTACAGAAAGGAGGGTGTTAGGCCCTTGACTACTGCCTCCAAAATTCCTGAATTAAATGAGTTTACTTCATAAATAAATGTCTTTGTTATTGTTTTTTGGGCTTGATTATTCTTACTGTCAGCTCTCAAATGGGAAGGTCAAGTTGGTGTTTCTCCTGGGCTTGCTATTTATACACAGGAAACCCGAGAGGGACTCAGCTTTAGAGTTAAGGTTGTTATTATAAAATAGGCTTAAAGTGGGTAATATAATCCAATTTTTGTCTAAATTTAGGTGCTAATCAAACAGAAATATTCCAGGATTCATTTTCTACATCTTTGAATGTCAGTTTTCTGACATCTTTAATGTCAGTTTGATCCAGTCTCTTTTCACATATTTTGATTGGAAGCCTTGTGTCTTTATGGAAATTTTCCATCGAAAGTCTTATTTTTCAGTGTTGCTGAGTTACTCAAACACACAGAGAGAGATGTATGTATGCCTCTTGCAACAGCTCAATTTTTAAATGCTGGGTTTTAGATCTCATTGATATCCTAAGAAAGAGATTCTGTCTTTTTGCGCAGAGACAAATGAAGGTCCAAGAGCTGTTCAGACAGGGGCAAGGGATCTATAAACTTGGTCATCAAGAGCCACCCATTTTTGTCACATTTTTGCACTTCTGCATGAGAAATTCAGGCTCGGAAGGTGGTGAACTGAAAATCCTTGCTCTCCCAACTGCTCATTAAGTCTTGAAATAAGAACAGAAATTATGCACCAGTATTGTCATGAATAGATAGGGTTACTTACTACCAGATACACTGCACCTGATTCACATCTACAAAAGTAATATGGAAAATATCTAGATAACAAAAATATGTACTCTTTTATCTTCACCTTCAGATGTGTATACTCTGAATCTTGAGTAGTCCCACTCAGGTATGTTTTACAGCTAGTGAACTATATATTTAAAGCTATGAAAGACAGTGTTATCAGTGCTTGTCAGTGCTCATAATTATCTTTAAATATGTTCCATTTATCTATTTATTTATTTATTTATTTATCTATTTTAACAACTGATTCTTAAAAGACTTCTTTTCTGTTCTGTTTTTTAGCTCTTACTCAGAGAGGAAATCTGATCTGCTGCAGCACGGAAACATCAGCAATGGCATGATGAGAAAAATTCCTTAGGGAGCTGCCTGTAAGTCTGATCAACATTTAAGATGAAAAGTTTTGCATTTTCTTTGGCAGGATGTTACCCATAGAGTTTAGCTGTATGAGGCAATTGCTGAGGCAATAAGAGAATATTCAGGAACACAAGCTTCTGCTTGAGTAGGTGAGTGAGGACAAAGAAAGGAATAATCCTTTTAAGACTTTTTCTTTTCCTGCCTTTCCCCTCCCTCCCCCAACTTCTCAAAAATACAATTGGTCTTTGAGACTTTCTAAATTGTGCCCGATTGAAGTCCTGTTCTCTCAGGATCCTGGATGCACTGAGTGGACCTGATTTCAGAGCTACAGTGGTTCAGTAGCTGAAAGCTGTGAGAATAAGCCTTTTTTTGCACTTTTGTCACTTCACCTTCTGACAGTCAAGCAGTACAGGGGTCAAAGGGATATCCTCCTGGAATAGCAGCAGTGTTGAGAGGTAGGATAGGAAACTCTGGATATGTAAGCACAGAAATGGTGAGAAAAAGGAAAAAAAAAAAAAAAGAGAGGAGGAAACCTGGTAGTACAAACTTGGGGTAGATGAAGACTGAGGGTGATTTCTGGAGAGCAGTTAAGACAAACTTTGGGTTACATGTTACCGATATTGAAACAGGTTTGCAGAGGATATCAAGGTGTGATCCTTTCAGCTCTTTTCCTCAAATACCTGGGAGAAAACCCTGAAATCTCCAGCTCTCAGTAACCTAAAAAAAAAAAAATCCAAAGGCAGAGCAGGTATGTCTGAATTCTCTAGAGGTCTAGACAGAAAATGTTTTTAACCAGCAGTAATTTTGCACTACAACCATTTACTGGGACCAGTCATATCCTGATCTTTACCTTATTTGACACAACTGTAATAGCTGTTTTCAGCCTCTGAAACAATGGCTGTATCCAAATTCTTTTCGGGGAATGGTCTTTTGCCTAAGTCCTAAACTATGCAAGAAGTTGTGCATGGCCCAGAGCTATCTGAGGGAACATTAGCTGGGTGAGACAAAACTGTGCCAGAACTGTAACAGCCCAAACAATTGAATTCCATGGCCTAGGCCCTTGTTCTGACAGTGTTTAATTTACTAATATTGACACACTTTTCATGTAGTAAAATCACCCTTCTTCATGTGGTATATTCCTGAGAGTCTGAAGTCTAAATATAACAGAATAATACTTCAGCACAAAAAAATCAATGAACAGCCCATTTAGAGGGAGACCATTGCCCATCTCCTTGTTCAGCTCTCATTTCCTTGCTGCTGGAGGACACATTCTGACTCAGATATAGGGCTACAGGAAAAGGCAAAGTAGCCTTGTGGTTTTAGTAACCAGGAGATGTTCTAGGAAATAAGATTCTGCCACTGATTCTACCTAAAAGTAGATGCTGAGAAAAATGTGTGTGATGCTGAGAAAAGGTCACCATCAGAAGAAAATAATACATGAAAAATGACTGAAATGGAGCTGGGATGGAACTTCAGAGCTTCAACTACAAAGAGGGAAAATTCTAATGCAGCCTCTGACTGTTGGGGAATTATACCATAATAGCTGCTTCTTATAATATAACATAGCAGTACTTAAGATACTTAAGTAAAAGGATGGAGTAGATATCCATTTGCCATAGTAGAACAATTGGATTTTGACAGGACTGAGAGAGCTCTCCTGGTGCCAGTGAGAAGCATGCTTAAAGCACATCAGTAAGACTATATTTCTTCTTTACAAATCCAAGTACTTTATTTTCAAGAGGTCAAGGAGTAGGGAACAGTGTAACTCCTCCTCTAGAACACTCTCCCAGGAGAAAGAACATGTACCTTTAGCACTGTCTTTGAAAAGTGTTTAAAGGCTTATCCACTATCTTCCTTGCTAGCTTGGTAGTATGCTAGCAGGTATGGTCTGGGCTGAATTGCATCTGGCCAGTAGAAGCTGGAAGAGCAAGAAGAAGGGGACAAAAGAGGAGCAGACACCTGAAATACCATTCAGCCAGAAGGACAAAGACCTCATGTCTAGTCTTGTCTTCAAAGACAGCATTTCACAGTATTTGCTGGATAACTCCAAGGGTCAATCTAAAGAGTAGATTCCAGGCCATGTCTACTACTTTATATTTGTTGACTGCCTCTGTAACTAGGCTAGAGAATCACTTGTCCTCATGCATGCCATTTTCATCTTCCCCTGAGTTGTTGTATTGATAATTTTTTCTTGCGCATCTTTGATGTGAAATTTTGGCAGTACCCAGAAGCTTTGTGGTTAATCTCCCTCTCAGATAATAAGTCGCATGGTCAGACTTGGGAGGCAGTTTAGGGCATCTATTTCCTTACATTAACCGCTACTTTATCATTCAGAGAGGGAAGGGAAGTGTTTGTCTTGTATCAACCATCTTAAAACATTGTGGCAAATCATATTTAGTCCCCAGAAAGAAAGGTAACACAGAATTTTATTAAAAGGAAGTTTTACAAAGAGATTCAAGGCTCAGGTCTTCCAGTAGCTTTTCTGTGAGAGAGAGGATGTTCTGTGAAACTCACTAAGTTTTTTTTTTCCCTCAAGTTTTCATGTTTTCAAGGCTCATCCATCACCTGCTCTGGATCATTTATGTGTGCAGCATGTGAATACTGCTGACTTCACACTGTTTCTTATAATTTTTCTGACTATTTCAGATCCCATTCTGAGACACTTAAGCCTTCATTGGTGCCTTAATCCTTCCATTCATGTGATGCTCATCTTACAGAGTTTGAAATTCTGTTTCAAGTCTGACTTCAAGGGGTTAAGTTTTCAGAAACAGGCACCAGCTCAGAGTTCCTAATTTTCAAGTGTTTATGAAAAGACACCTGTATCTGACTTGCAGAAATATTGAGTACTCACAAATCCAGATATGGTCAATAGAAATGTGGCATTGAATCAGTAACATTTTATGTAATGACAAATGTGCTTAGAAATCAGGTCCTAGGCAACTCAGGGTCTTCATTCCTCACTTTTCTCTTTGTAATATGGGGTTAAATAAACTTCATGTTAGAGGAAGGCTGTAAAGAAAAATTTTGCAGGTCTTTCTGAATCACTTTCAGGCTACAACACTGGATGCCGGAAAAATGTCCACAAAACAGTTATTTATTTAGTATTTAGGTCAAGAGTTTGAACAGTGCACTGTACATAGAGCACACTGTCACTCACTGAACAATGAGAAAAAAGTCTAAATTTTTCTAATGGAGTATTTTGCCATTGCAAAATTGCTGTGAGGGCATTGGTTCCAGAAAAGATAAAGTAGAAAAGCTTAAATCTTGTACATTTTCCAGAGTTACTCTACTCTAACTTGTAGAATTTCTTGACAGCTGGGCTGATCTGTTGTGTTCAGCTTGTTGACTCCAACCATTTCACTAGTAGGATCACTAAACTGCAAAGCAACCAGGGGAAACTGATGATGAAATTCTGGATCCTAGGCTCTTCAACTTTTTATTTGTTCAGGCTGCTAGAATAGTAACCTTTCTGAGGTGTATGAGCATTGTGAGTATTTCAAAAAGAAAGGAAAAGACATTTTTATAAGGGACACCTTCCACTCCCCTCAATCCTGAGTCTCTGAAGAGCTTGTGATCTCAGTTACATAGTGCTGAAATACTCAGTACACTGATCAGAACTGCTTGAGTCTTTAGAAATACCTAGTTATTCAAAAAAATTGCTGCCTATCCATGATTGCAGCTAACAGAAATTGGCTGCTAGCACATAAATGTGAGGTTGAGTTAAGCAGAAGCAAGATCAAACCCTTAAGCTGAACTAAACATTGCTTCGCATATTGTATACAACACCTCTTTCATCAGCCCAGTTAGTGACCTAAATCTGCACAACCTTGTCAAAGAGAATATCTAGAACCCACTTTTTCACATGAAGATGTGCCTTCTTAGTCACCCATTTATCCCATAGGGCAAAAAGATATCTTTAACACCTCTAAGAGGATGAAGAATGAAGTTTCCTGCTACATCTGAGGTTTGCAACCTCAGCAATTCTCAGCAGTGCAGATACATAATCTTAAAATCTGGTCTCTGGTCTTAAAATCTAGCCTCACAAACTCATTACTTAGGTGTTTCAGGTTCAATTTATGTTTTAAACATTTGAGATTTATAATCATATATACTTGTCAAAGCTTTTTTTCCAGCTTTTTAAGTGGTAAGTTTTCCATCAAGAGCACTTTGAGAAACTAACAGCACACGGCAGAGTTCTACATGTTACAGTAGGCTGATAGGTCTGCTCAACTCACATGTCTATTCCTGCTAATGTTTGTGGTCTGAATACATGATTACCCCCAAATGAGAGAGAGGCAGAGATCATAACCAGTACGGGTATCAGTAATGTAGATGGTTGGTCTGCGCTGGGCTTGTAAATATGTGAGTTGGGTGGATTCTCAGCACCTACCATTTTTTGCTGCTGCAGCAACAAAGTTTGCAAAAACAAAGTTTTCAGCCTCTCACAGCAGTGCATGGAAATCACTTTGTTATATGAGAAGCACCAGCATGTGTAAAGGTTATTCCTATGCCATTTAGAAGAAGGAAAGCAGAGAGACACAAATTTTACTACGGAAATATTAGCTCCTTTAGTTGTGCCTACTCTTCTGACTGCTCTAACTTGTCTTTGGGACTAGTTTTGTAACGAGTGTAGAAGGAAAAATAAACAGTCAGAAACACAGAATAATAGAATTTTTTTGGTTGGAAAAGACACTTAAGTCATTAAGTCCAACCTTTAACCCAGCACTGCCAAGTCGGCCACTAAACCATGTCCCCCAGGTGCCACATCTAACTTTTGAATAACTTCCGAGGATGGTGATTCAGCCACTTTCCTGAGCAGTCTGTTCCAGTGCCAGACAATCCTTTCAGTATCCAATCTAAACCTTCCCTGGTACAACTTGAGGCCATTTCCTCTTGTCCTAGCACTCATTACCTGGGAGAAGAGGTGGACTCTCATCTCGCTACAACCTCATTTCAGGTAGCTGTAGAGAGTGATGAGGTCTCTCCTGAGCCCTCTTTCTCCAGAGTTAACAAC